CACTTCTTTTCTCTAACATCCCGCTTTGGAAGATAAGTCACACCGCTTTGCCTTCCCCATAGACTGTAAGTTCCACGAGGTGCAAGTACATGTCTATTCTGTTCACTCTGCATCCTCAGCTCCTGGCCCATTGTGTGTGTCTAACAAGTGATAATGGAAAAATAAGTATCGGGAGCTCTGGTGAGTGATGGCCTCTGGGAAGTCATATGTGGAGGTTGTCACAACTATAGTTAGAAATAGTATTCAATATAATATTCTTTTGGAGGTTAACTATAAAATTTTTTGTGTAGTTTAGCTAGCACATCATATGTTGGATCCAGTAAGGCTAGTAATGATATTCAAAAGCAGGCATTCTCCCGTAATCTGATGAGGAGAGTTTGCAGCAGATCGGACAGTGTAGCTGCTGGAGATAACAAATCCAGGCTGCAGTTGTGGAATGTCTTTACGTAAAGTAGAACTTCAAAATAGAAAGAGATTACAGATCAATCCAGCATGATTTTCCAAGTGTGAGCCACTAACTGAAAGAACATAAAATCTATCACCAAGAGTATAAAGAACAAATCTGGCAAAAACAATATTTAAACATTCCATAAACACTGATGGATTCAGATTTGTCACAAGACGCCATTGATATCATGAAATATCATGAATATCTGTGACTGGCCATCTAGATTTGGGTGAATCTAGTGAATTAGCATCCAAACCAAACCCGTAAAATATTCTCTACGAGTCAGGATTTGAATCTACAGGAGCTTTTGATAAAATCCGTAAGTAAAAATATGTGTATAAGGGAAAGTGCCAGTTAAATGTTGAGAAGGACACGAATAGCTCAGTAGAAATACTTAGGTTTGTTTAAAATAGCATCTTTGGCAAAAGCAGGATTATTTGTACAGTTTCAATTACCTGCCCCAGCACGATACCAAGCAAGTCTATCCCATTGCATTAGGATGCTGTGCTGAGCCAGCCTCTCCAGTTCCAGAAGAATCTGGTTCTGCACCTCTGCTCAGTCGTGACAGTTCTCGATACTCTGCTTGACTTGCTGCCTTACTTAGAACAACATTAGAATATGTCTCTAATGGGAAGTGTGTGTAAATAATTCCTCATCTCACTAAGGCTCCACAAGTGGCCTTTCAAAACATAGTTTCTGCAGAGGCCAACAGATCTCATTTGCATTTATTTCTGCTGTATTTTATTTGAGATTTGGACTTGAGAAGGATAGCTGAAAGCTTAGAGTCATAGAGAATCAGCAGCAGCCTTCTTGGCGTGATTCCTTTCTATAGGGAGATAGAATGGTAAACCAAATGACATTTCTAGGATTTTTCCAGACTTATGCTATAACTATTAGGAGAATGTTTTATGATTAAAATTGGCCAGCTCGTTCCCTGGATTATCATGATGTGTAAGCATAGACTTTTAGGCTGCACATCCCATACCGTGCCTAAGACACTTTAGGGCTAAAAAATGTTTATCATCCCCTGCCAGCTAGCTCAGAGGGTCAGAGAGCTGCTCTGATGAAGCCAAGTCACAGGCCCCATCCCTGTAGAAGCCAGTTAATGCCAAACAAAGAAAAGATCTGTTCCCCAGCTACAGCTTGCACCTTGAATCTTAGCCAGCTCTTGGCTGCAGCAAAACCCAGTTAGTTTACCCTGGATCAGAGGACGAACCAGGAAAAAGAATGTCCGGGGATCAATGAAAAACCATCATCATTCCTGAAAAGAAAATCTAAATGTAGTCTTTTCCTACTGACAGTGTCAACAGCACCATCTTCTTAGTCAGAAGATATTATATATTCGACAACTTGATGAAATTACTTTTTGTCTCTTTAAATCCCTTCCTACGTGTTGATTATTCTTGGAATGCTCATGTTGACAGTTGTCTGAATCTGTATTATATATGGCCCATGGAGTGACATGAACCTCATAGAGAACATGTATTTCTTGGCTACAGTCATTGCAGTATAATAGATGGCCTGACTCATACTTGAAATGAGTTGCAGCAGCTTTATGTGCTTCTTTTCTCCTTTCACGGGCTCTCTTTCCAGTTCATGGCCACATATGGATGGCTCTTTAACTTTTAGTGAAATGCATACAGGCTTTCCATCCTAAATTTAAATGTGCAAAAAACAGAGCGAAATAGCTAGTTTCATCCTCAATCCCAGAGAATGGGGAAGAAAGCCTACCTTTTCACCTCAATTCCTCTGCCTAAAGTACATCTCCCAGAAATTTATATTTTATTCAGGTTTCCATGAGAAATCCCAGCTCTCTAGAGCACTTCCTACGGCATCATCTCTGCCTGGGTGTTCTCCTGGCCCCAAGCCCTCACCGGTCCCCTCGCTTTCTTTCCCTTACAGCAGTTCTCTCTGCCTGAGATTGGATTCACTAACTACGTGTTTGTCTTGTTCGTTCTCTGCTGTATCTCTAATGCTAAAACAATGCCTGGAGTAGAATCAGCATTCAATATATAATTATTGAAAAATGATCTGATGAACTGGAACATAAATTAAAACACAGACATTGTAACAGCAATCAAATGACATGCATATCTAGTGACATTTTTTCACTCTAGCTTTGGTTTATTAGGAAACACAGCTTCCTTCCAATTACCCATTGTGTCAGAGAGAAAAGCCTTACAAAATCTGAGTGACAGATTTTTCTTGCCACAGCGTTGCAAGGAATCCCTAGTACTTTTTTAATTAACTTTTTCTAACTTTTAAGCTAAGCTATTTTTTTTTTTTGGTAATGGAAGTAAGATTGACATAACATAAAAGTCACCATTTTCAAGTGTACAGTTCTGTGACCTTTAGTACATTGACAATGTTGTGAAACCATTACCTATATTGAGTTTTAATAATTTTCATCAATAATGTTATTTCTCTAAAAACTAATCATTCATCTTGGAGTGGTAGAAAACTAATCCGTTGCTTTGCAAAATAGTAAATAAAGGATCAAGCATTTATCTCAGCATCTCTCTGTAAGCTATTATACGGGGTAACCAAATAGTAGATGAGAGAAAGTGGATCTTTTTAAAAGTATTCCAATGGATAAGTAAAAAAGAAATTATTAATGTGGCATTTCACTATGCAGAACCCCCAGTGAATTAGTGGATCTAGCCATTGAGTGTGAACGTGTAGAAACATCACAAAAAGAAAGACATCTAGACATTCTGTGTCTTGTAATAAAAGAACATAATGTCATCTATAGTTTTGCCAAAGAGAGAAAATAGAGTTTGTCCAAACCTCTGAATTCAGCTGCCAATTTTCCAGAAACACAGAAGACAAGAAAACATGTAGAACTACACACTAGTATGCAATCGGTGAAGTCCAGGCTGTGAAGAAGTCCACAGTCCAATTCCCTAAGTTCTTCAAAAACTAAATTGTAAGAAGACGAACAGTCTAGAGGTGATACTTGTAGGTTAAGAGACTTAGAAGATATAAGTTGTTTTTAATGGGCAAGATTAAATGCAGTGTCTAAGGCTGCATATTCAGTGGTAAAAAGAGAGAGAAATGCAAAAACATGGTAAATATAGAAGCCATGGTCATGGTCACCTTGGAGAAGAAAGAAGGGAATTGTGACTGAGACGGGGCATATGTATGAGCTTAAAGTTTTATTTCTTGCTCTGAATAATAATTACAAGAGTGTAATTAAAAAATTCGCGAAGTTCCCCCTAAGATCAGGAAGATAGGAACGCTGGTTTTCACTGCTGCTATTCAACGTTGTACTGGAAGTTCCAGCCAGAGCAATTAGGCAAGAAATAGAAATAAAGACGTCCAAATAAGAAAGGAAAAAATAAATCTCTCTCTATTCACAGAGGGCATGATTCTATATATAGAAAACCCATAGAATGCACCAAAAAAGCTACTAGAGCTAATAAATGAAGTCAGCAAAGTTGCAGGATACAAAATCAATACACAAAAGTCAGGTGTATTTATACATACTAGCAATGAACAATCTGAAAGGGAAATTAAGAAAACAATTCCGTTTATAATAGCATCCAGAAGAATAAAATACCGAGGAATAAATTTAACCAAGGAGGTGAAGACTTGTAAAATGAAAACTACAAAACACTGCTGAAAGAAATTAAAGAAGACCTAATAAATAGAAGGACATCCTGTGTTCACGGATTGGCAGACTTAATATTGTTAAGACGTCACTCCTACCCAAAGTGGTCTACAGATTTGATGCTAAATCCCAGCGGCCTTTTTGTAGAAATGGAAAAGCCAATCCTCAAATTCACATGAAATTGCAAAGGGCTCTCAAGAGCCAAAACGATACTGAAAAAGAAGAACAAAGTTAGAGGACTCACACGTGCTGAGGTTTTAGTTTGGAGTGATGGAAATGTTTTGAAACTAAATAGATAGAGATAGTGTTTACCAACATTGTGAATGTACTGAATAGCGCTGAATTATTCACTTTAAAATGGTTCATCTTATGTTACGTGAATTTCACCTTAATAAATCACTTTTCTTTTAAAGAATTTATTTTTCCTTTTTCTCCCAAAGCTCCCTGCTACATAGTTGTGTGTTTTTAGTCGTGGGCCCATCTGGTTGTGGCATGTGGGATGCCACCTCAGCATGGCTTGATGAGCGGTGCCATGTCCGCACCCAGGATTTGAACTGGCAAAACCCTGGGCCGCCAAAATAGAGAGCATGAACTTAACCACTTGGCCACGGGGCCAGCCCCAATAAATCACTTTTTTAAAATACAATAAGATAATAAAATACATAAACTACAATCCCATATACACCTCTTTATAAACTCTGTAGGATAAACTAATGTGTAAATGTACTCTTTTTCGGAGAGAAGAGAAATGAGCATAGCTGATTCTGAAAATGGTTACTTTGGACAAAGAAAGGTCAAACTCTCTTCCTGGCTCATAGTCATTATGGTAACTATTTCATAAAATGAAAAATTTCCATTTCCCCCGTGTATCAAGTTCATTCTAACACGTTTCCTCTGGCTTAGTGACAGCCCGTTTAAACATATGTTTCTTGTATTTTACAGACATACTTGGCAAGTGCAAGACAAAATTGACGCAAACAATGTGGCCTACACAACGGGGAAGCTAAGCTTTCACACTGATTATCCAGCCCTCCATCATCCACCTGGGGTAAGGTGAGCCTGAGCATATTTTCCACAAGGCAGGCCAAGGACCAATATCCTCCTGTATTTTGAGTCTAGAAGATTATATGTTTCATTAGCGAATTTTATGTACATCTTCCTTCTCCGAACGCAGAAACGTCTGCACCTCAATCCTGAATAGCTTCACATTCTCAAGGAAGAGATTTTCATGGTTTCTTTCTAAACATTTCTTTGTTTCTTTCTAGAAATAACTGTTGGCACTTTTTACTTTGCCAAAACAAATTTTTACCATAGCAGGGCATCTTGAGGTCTTTTTGCACATTTACCATTTCCGTGAAAGTTAAAAGAGAAAATGAAACCAGGGAACACAATGTAGGGTTTTTCCCACAAAATCACATGACTCTGACTCCTATCAGCTAGCTCTGTCTGCATAAAAACCCACTCCACAACTTAATGGCTTAAAAAGTACACACATAGCCGTGTTGTTAGCACATGTTTTTACCATTTGTGCTGTGTTCAGCTGGGCTGAGTTGGCTAGGGACTGGTTGACCTAGGTGGACTTCAGCTAAGATGGCTTGTTTCTGCTCCACTTGACCTGTCATCCTCCAGCAGGCTAGCCCAGGCTTGTGCACCTAGCAGCTGGCAGAATTTCCAGAGAACAAGCCAAAACATACAAGGCCTCTCGAGACCTAGGTTAGTAATCAGAACGATGCCCCTTCTGCCATGTTTTATTGGTCAAACCAAGTCATGAGTTTAGTCCAGATTCAGAAGGTAAGGAAGTAAACACCACCTTTTATGGGAAAAGCAGCCAAGGTGTGCTACAAAGGGTGGGAATGCAAGGAGCAGATAACCTTGGCTGTTTTTAGAAACCACCTACTTTCCCATCCATCAGATTCCTCATCAAAGAGGGAAATGCTCATCATGGAGCCACAAATCCTCCAGGAGAATTCTTGAGAGAACCCCCTTCCACCATATTATTACAAAATTGTCATTTTACTAAACCAGCCATATTTTTACAAAAGAATCATTTGCTGAACCAAGAAATAAACGGTCAGGAAATTATCTTTGAAAAGATATTTTGTTCCTATTTTTAGAGCTAAATGGGACTAAATCAAAAGCCACATAGAAATCTATACCTTCAGAGGTAAATGGAAGTGTAAATTTTGAGCAGTTCTCTAGTTAATGAAGGTGAAATAGTCCCAAATCAAAATTAGTCTGTTTTTTCCATCATGTGGACGTCTTCTCGGCGCCCTCCTGGTTACCCACTGTCCTCGCCAGTGGTAACTGAGCTGGTCTAGCACTTGACTCCGCATGTTTTAAATTATGTTGCTGATTGTAAAATACCACATGATTTCTTTGGACTAAATGATGACAGTGAAGTGACCCCTATAGTAACCTTTTTGGGTGGGGATTGGGAGGAAGAGACATACAATGTGATTTGTTCCAAACGTGGTCCAGAAATTTTCTAAAACCCTGGGGATTAAAAGCCAAATTAATCAGCTCAGTTCATCTGCCAAAGATGGGTTGGAGAAGTTAGAAGGAATAAAGCTTAAAAAAATTAGACTAGGAACTAAAAATTCTGTTTGAATTTTTAAATTATCTGCTGTTTGTTGTGAGTTTAGGTCTTGGCTCTGAGTTAAAATTGAAAGCCTATGGAAAAGTGATTAAATGACATCATAAATATTCCTGAAGTATAGTACAAAGCTTGCCATTTTCACAGCATTTTATATTCTTTCAAAGCACTTTTATTTATATTACTTATTTGATCTCTCTTAATATTCCTTTAAGGTAGACAGGAGTGATCATGTCTTTTTATGTTGGATGAGGAAATGACACACAGCAAGGTTAAATACTTTAACAGGGTGACATTCGATTAATAGGGAACTTGAAACCAGGCCTCCATCTAGTTTTTTACCTCACCATACTGGTCTTCAGTTGGGCTTTCTAATTACTGTAATTTATATAAGGTGATGATTATTTATCGACATTGTCATACGTTAAAAACTCTTTAAATACCCGTACTGAATCTTATATTTCTCTATATTTCAAGACTTAACCCAGTGCCTGGCATGTAATAGAGACTTAACAGATAGCTATAAAGAGGCAAAGACCAACACTACATGAGAAGATGCTCTACGTCACTAATCATCAGGGAGGTGCACGTCAAAGCCACCATGAGCCATCACCTCACACCTGTTAGAATGGCTATTACCCAAAAGACTAGAAATAATAAGTGTTCATGAGGATGTGGAGAAAAGGGAACCCTAACACACTGTTGTGGGAGTGTAAATTGGTGCAGTCACTGTGGAAAACAGTATGAAGTTTCCTTAAAAAATTAAAAATAGAATCACCTTATGATCCAGCAGTTCCACTTCTGGGTATTTATTCAAAGAGAACAAAAACACTAACTCAGAAAGATATATGCACCTCCACATTCATTGCAGCATTATTTACAATAGCCAAGATATGGAAACAACCTAAGTGTCCGTTGATGGATGAACAGATAAAAAAAGTGGTATATATACGCAGTGGAATATTATTCAGCCATAAAGAAGAATGAAATTTTTCCATTTGCAACAACATGGATGGACCTTGAGGGCATTGTACTAAATGAAATGAGTCAGACAGAGAAAGCCAAATGCCTTAAGATCTCTCTTATATGTGGAATTTAGAAAATAAGTAAATAAATAAACCGAGTTCATAGATACAGTGAACAGACTGGTAGTTGCCAGAAGCAGGGAGTAAAAGTGTAGGAGAAATGGGTGAACTATTTTGTGTTGTTTCTGCTTTTAATAAATTTAATAAACTTAAATAAATTGAATTTAAAAAAGAAAATAAGCGTCATGACTTAATGAGGCCAACCACTGAAACACTTCCAAATTCGGTTCCTGTACCCATTGTTAACCTATGCGTGCAGTTATGCATATGTGTCAATTTATGGACACTGATTAAATTACTACTGTGACAATTCATTTAAAACCTAAATACTATCCCATGTATAAATAATATAACTGAAAATGCTCTTTAGAATAGTAAGTCTGTAAAGAGTCAAAAAAAAAAAAAGAGGTAAAGAAATTCCACAAAGTCGTACGGATCTCCATCCACAAATGAAACATGCAAGGCTAAATGACATGGTAGGAGATTTTTAGATAAAAGATGATTCCTGAAACATCTAGATTCTACTAGAAGAATGATTAAAATGTAGGCACCTGTTTGTGCTATTGTTCAAGTTTCCATTCTGAATTATGCAGGGATTTTTGAACCAAAGTTTGAGCTTTTTTGTAACAAAGAGCATAAAGCAGTGTTCTTTTCAGCACAGATGAAATGATCTGGAGAATGAGTTAGCTGTTGGGGGTTCAGGCTGATCAATATGGATCACGTGGGACAGGGGTAAGGGGACACATCTTTAATGAAACCCAGATGTTGCTTCACTCACTGTCTTTGTCTGAGCCAGAAGTCACGTGCTGCCATAAAGTAACATTTAGAAAGAAAATATTTTCTGTTCTGAATGACTTATGTGAAATAAAATTGGGTTTTATACACATCAGACGTGTATTTGCCTTTTGAATTAGTGGTGAAAGTGTTGTCTGGCTCCATCAACTTTTTTGCTTTCATAAGATTACATTAAAACATAAATATAAAAAAGGAGATTGTTACTTGGCCTTGGCCATATGTAAAAGATATCAGTTATCTCTTTTAAAGATTTGTATTTGAAATATTCTGTGACTTCATGGTGGTAAAGTCTAAAAGGGTTCAGAGACCACTCTGATTCCCCCACAGACGAAGTTATGCTACTGTTTTGCCTCTCGGAGTTTGGTAAATCCGAGGTTGACATCTTCGTTTCATCTTCTTTTTAATCATGCTGCTTCACCCTTCATTGCCCTGGCGGGGAGATGATTTTCTACAATGACTTGGTCAGCTTATGCACATATTTTTTTGAACTTGAAAAAAACTGGCACCAATTTAAAGACTGAATAATTAATTTAGACTAGTTCTCTGCTAACATCAGAAAACAAGGCATCATCGCCCTGAAATGGAAGCTTAAGTTTACAAAGCGCGTACACACACACCACGCCATAGTGACTTAGTGAGAGCCCTGTAAGGGGGCTTCCCCCAAGAGGAAAGGAGCGCGCTCTATGAGGATTTCGAGGCAAATAGACCAAGGTTTGAATATCAGTCTTACCATGTTTTAGATGAGTTCTTACCAGCCAGCCAGTTTTTTCACCTCTGGGTCTCAGTTTCTTCATCTATAAAATGGAGATGAAAGCATCCAATCTAAGGACTGTGGTGAGGAATTAATGCATGTGCATGACACAGTCCTAATCTGAGAGCAAGTAGGCATAAGATTCAAAATGTTGAGAAAACTTGTCCGGTTTGGGAGGGAAGGAGGCAGGATTTGTGTTCTAGACCTGCGCTATCAACATAGTAGTCACTAGCCACAAATGATTATTTAACTTTTCATTTAAATTAATTAAGATAAAGTACAATTTAAAATTCAGCTCCTCAGTCACACTGACCACATTTGAAATGCACAATGGCCATGTGGGACTGGTGGCTACTGTGCTGGGCAGCATAGAACATTTCCCTCATCGCAGAAAGTTCTGATGGACATCACTGTTCCCGACCATCTACAGAGCTGACCAAGCTAAATGTATCGTCTCCCCACTCACTGATCTCCTAGACTGGCTATTCGATCATAGTTGCCTCTTCCTTTCTGTAAGAACTGTCATACATTGGTTTTTATTTTTATTTCTCTCAGTAGGAATGAAGTCTTCACAGTTGAATAGTGTTAGTTGCTCTAAGCAGAAAACCAGGGTCTAAAGTCAGCTCTTCAAAATCACCCACCCGTGCTGACTTACCGGAAGGAGTCACATAACCCAGGAGAACAGATAAACTCCATTCAAAAGAATGCTTTTTAAATTTTACCATGTTTTGCTTTTCAAAATGAAGTACTGTTAAACATTTTTCCCTAAATCTTAGTAAAAATAACTAATACTTATTATCCTTTTGGTTTCTCATTCCCAGTGTCTCTTGGGTTATTCCCCCTCAGAGGCCTGTCCAACCTCATTCCCTTCTTATCCGCACACATGACCTGTCCTTTTAGACTCCCAGGTAGTCACTGTCACTAGTTCTCCCCTTTAAAAGAAGTTATCCTCTGTAACACCACTGGATTAATGTTCTTCAACTCTGTCTTGACTACACGGCTTCCATATTCAAAAGCCTTTAGCGATTGCCCTCTGTGCACAAAGTCTAATATCCTTCAGCTGACATTCAAGGCTCTCCCTGATGAGGTCCCAAATTACCTTTCCAGCTGGATCTACCATTCCCAATTGTGAACTTCTACTGCAGCCAGACTTTGCTACACCCAGTGAAGTGTGCATTTTGCACACTCTCTCACTGCCACTTGATTTGCTCTCTCCATTCTGTGCTACATATCCAAAATCTTATCCATCTTCCTTTGCCCGGATTAAGTCCCGCCTCCTCCGTCAAGCCAGCATGAAGTGCCTGTTCCCTCCAGCTCTGTGATGTGTGCCTTTGGTTCCTCAGGCATTCTGGTGCCTGTGCCCTGTCTTCAGCTGTGACAGTGTACGAACGATAAAGTATTGATTATGACCACCTTATCTCCCCAATCCTTTTCTCTGCTGACACAAAAAAGACAGATAAAAAAGCTTTCTTGACTTTAGTGCTTTTATCATTCTGAATCTTTCTTGAACACAGTGTCAAAAAATGTAAGTGCATATCATTTTAAAACATATTCCTCTATTTCTTTTTATAGGTTCAGCTTCTGCACTGCATAAAACAGACAGCCACGGGGGGGGAATCAGAAATCGTAGATGGATTCAACGTGTGCCGGAAGCTCAAGGAACAGAATCCCCGTGCGTTCCAGATTTTGTCCTCCACCTTTGTAGACTTTACTGACATTGGAGTGGATTACTGTGATTTCTCTGTACAGTCCAAACACAAAATTATAGAGTAAGTACCATTTATAAATTTCTCATAGCAATAAAGCAGTTGATGCAAAATTTCATTAACTTAAACAGCAGAAAGCTTTAATTGACTCCAGAGGTTTACTTTTTATTAACTGTCTAATCCAGTTTTAGAGTGAAAGAGAAAAAAGAACATTTTCACCATAAAAAATTATTTAGCAAACTTCCATGAAATCTCTGTTCTTAATGTAAGAGAAGTAACTAAGACTTCATTTACACTTCATTTTTAAAATATAAGCTCTACATAGTTATAATCAGTGTGATTGTGCCAGTCACAATCCTTTCAGCCAGAAGTGAAAGACTCTAACTCAAATTGGGTTGATCCAAGAGTTAAATAATGTCATCTGAAACTGATCTCCTTTTTCTTCACCTCTTAGCTTTGCCATCCTCTGTTTTGGCTTCATTTTCAAAGATAATCAGTAGAAGCTCCAAGTTTTTATTGTCCGTAGAGCTGATAATCACAGCACACAAAAAACATATGTTTCTCAATAGCTACAACTCACTGCCCAGGACGTGTCCAAGTCTATCCTTGGAGCATCAGCATGGCAAGGAAGTCAGAGAATTCTGATTGGCCATTGCTCGGTCACGTGTTCATCTCTGGAGCAAGGTCAGCCTCATCTGAACCAATGGGCTGAGGATGAAACAGGGACGTCTCCCCAAAATGATGCCAACAAAAATCATATCCTCCCTTCGTAGAACATTTTGTGTTCTATCATTTTTCATTTAACATTATTTTATCATAATTTTTCCAATTACATACAAAAGCCACAAAGGATGTGGTTTAGTTAATCAGTCCTCAGTTAAAGATTTTTTGAGCGCTTTCAATTTTAGGTTGAAATTGTATTCTTCTTTTAGGAGAAATAGCCAAATGATATGAAAGCAAACTCATTTAGTAAATAAGCAAATCCCCAGCATACTAATTCAGCTTTCTTATATCCACATATGGCCTTCATTCATTCATTCCACAAATATGCATTGAGGCTAGCCACTCTCCTTAGTGGTTGGGTGACATCAGTGGACAAAACAAAGACCCCTACCCTCATGTAATTTCCAGTCTAACTGGGGAGGGGAGAATTCGAAATTTTAAAACAAATGACTCAATTACAGTGACTGCTGAAACATTTTTTAAGTGCAAAGAGAAAAGGAAAAGTAGGTCAGGATACAGAGACTCTGTGGAGCCGAAGCGTTAGAGAGACAAGACTTGCATCACTAAATAGTGTGGGGAGGAAGAGCCTTACTGAGTAGGTGATGTTTGAGCAAAAACCTAAAGGACTGAAGGAGTTTTCCCAGAAGAGAAGCAGTTTCCAGAAACAGCCGGGGCAAGGGTCCTAAGAAGGCCCTGAGAACATATCTGGTATGCTCAAGGGGCAGCAAGGAGGCCAGTATGGAGCAGGGTGTTAAGAGAGGAAGTGAAATTGGGGGAGTTCATGAGTAAGAACGTTGGCCTTCCCTCTCGGTGAAATAGGCAGCTACTGCAAGGTTTTGACCAAAGGAGAGACATTTATATTTATATAGATTTATGTACATTTTAAATGGGTCACTCTGGCTGCTGTGCTGAATAGAGTGGAGAAGAGCAAGGCAAGAAGCTAACTCAGGACAGCAGGCTGGGACGAGGTGCCGGAACATGAGCCGTCAAGGGGTGGCAGTGGCAGTGTGGAGAAGGGTCTGTTTTTAGATATATTTTGCAGGTAGAAATAGCATACTTTCCTGACATATTGGATGAGGGGTGTGAGAGAAAGACAGACATCAAAAATAAATTCCAGTTCAGAATAAACCTGAGACATTCTCTGAGGTCAGTCATCAAGGTGGGAAAGAGAAGAAATAACTCTTGAGATTCAAGTTTTAACATGACACTTTTAACTATTTAAAAATTACCTTAGGGGCTGGTCCAGTGGCACAGCAGTTAAGTTTGTGCACTCCGCTTTGGCGGCCCAGGGTTTGCAGGTTCGGATCCCGGGCCCCCTATACACCACTTAACAAGCCATGCTTTGGTGGCACCCAACATATAAAACAGAGGAAGATGGGCACAGATGTTAGCTCAGAGTCAATCTTCCTCAGCAAAAAGAGGAGGATTGGTAGCAGATGTTAACTCAGGGCTAACCTTCCTCAAAAATGAAAAATTACCTTAAAACCCTATGACAAACTGCAATTTTGTTGTGGTAGGATATGATTGTAAATTCTGCAAAGCTGGTGAACAGAGGCAAAAAAAATTAGCTATTGAGTGAAATTAACAGAAAGTCCATCATCTGAACCAAGACTTGGTGTTAGTATTCTTTTGTAGTTAAATTCCAGAATTTGGCCATTTTCAAGGTCTCATGGATATCCCTAGAGAATATCAAGCGGTTAACATCAATCCACTTAAAAATATATTTTTAACAACAGGAGCTGACACAAAGAGGGTTTTCGGTTAATCGAGGGCCTCAGTCTCCTGAGTGTTTGAGTTCATTTGATTTTCCTTGTGACTAAATTTTTTAGCTCTTATAAGAGGTTTACGTCCTGTCTTGTACAAAAAGATCTTGAAGGCTGCTGGCAGAGTTACAATGCAGTACAATAAAAAAAGAAAGAAAGAAAGTAGGACAGAAATAATAATGGTGAGATTAAGCTCTAACAGTGCATCCTAGCGGTTACAAGTTCAATCACGTGACGACAACTCCTTGCTCGTTAGCAGTGCGACCTTGCTCAAGAGATGTATGCTTGCTAAGCCGTGGTCAAAAGGGAGCCGGTAAAAAGGCAGTAATATTAATGCCTACCACACACAGTTGAAGTGGGAATTATAGAGAGGACATATGGATGCCCCTGCCACTGTGTGTGGCTCAGAATGAGGAGAATAAATTTTAGCCAGCTATAACTTCCATAAAGTCCAACACATTTACTGGTGACAGAGTTTAATTTCAGCACTGAGTTTCTAAAGACCAGAGAAAGGAGGGAACATAATCAATTTGCAAGATTTAAGATCCTCATAAAATGTGAGGTGGTAGACAACACCATAGTGACCTTCTCCCAACAAATTCAACAAGTCCCATCACAGCTCACATTGCTCAGTGAGACATATGTGACGAACGAGGGGTGTTTACAGCATCACTCCTGATTGTAGGAGGCGGTTCTATAGTCCTTTCCTTGAGTTCTTTTGTTGGCATTACTGATGACGTTTTGCTTTGGTTGCTTTGCGGTCACCATGTTGCTGGTTTATGTTTAAACGCTTGTCCTTTGTGGATAGCTAATATATAGCCAGTTCTTCCTCATCTTTGGGGGCGTTTTACCCTTCCTCAGCATACAATCCTGCATTGGGACCTTCCTTTCGTTCTGTTGTTGCACACAGAATTTCCTGCTTACTAAGATTCAATTTTGCATTTTAGGTTGATCTTCAAGATGCCAACCACTCCTCTCCTCTAACATTCTTCAATCCTCAGAATAATGTCTTCTCTAGACCTCATAACTAAATTTGCTTCCTATTTCACCTCATGTCATTGCTGAGAATGCTAAATAATGAATTTGTGTCTTGTCTTCTGAGCTAGAAAGCGAACACCAGGTGAAAGGAGACAGACTGTGCCATGTGTACACGCACACAGAAAATTGGTTATTTTTGTCTGTATCTGTGAACTCTTGGAAAGGATTAATACAATGTACCATGGGACACACAATTCTGATTTCCCTTAAATTAATGAATCACAAAGTTCCTTTCACTAATATGTGAGGATACACACGTGGACTCTAAGAGAGCCCATGACTAGCATGACCATTCCCATCAAGGAGTTATGGTGTCAGTGGAAAACAAGATGGATTGCCTGAGTGGCTGGGATGGAAGACCCCCAAGAAGTCCTGACGTCCTTGTCTGTAACACACAGGGTGTCACAAAAGGTGTCATTGTTACATGCACAGAAAACAATACAGGGAGAGAAGAAGGAAAGTGGGTCAGCAGCAGTGGGGCTAGAATCCTGAAAATAAGATTAAAAGGCAAAATGGGCTCAGAAACTGAAAGGGTCTGAATCCAGCAGTGTGAACTCTAACAGGGCCATTGAAAGGCCAAGCACTGTGTCCTTTGTCCTTCATGTCACTCAAACCTGGAGGTCCACAGTCTCTTCTGCTGGCTGACGTTTTCCTTTGATTCTTTGTTCATAAAGCCACAACCTACACGGAGAGGGTGGGGTGACAGGGGAGGGCACTTCATTGCGTGTTCAGTCATATTTGTATTTTTATTAATCTGTGTAAATTCAGGTTTTAAGAGTCTAAGAGCCTTTCTGAAAACCTGTTCCTTTCTGTCACTTCCCTTTCCCTATGTGGGTTCAGCAGATGGTTTTCAGTCACCATCCGATATGCAGAGTTGCAGCTAATCGCCCATTCTTAGATTACTGTACACTTGCTGTTGGCCCAGAGGATTGACTAGTAACCTGAGGCACAAAGCACAAAGGGACTGGGATAGCCACAGTTTGCCACCACAGGCAATAGCATCCTTCCTCCTGTACCCTGACTAGTTGATAATGGTTCACTCTGTTGATTGGTCAGCTAAGTGTGATCCAGACCCCAAATCAGCATCACCAAACAAACCCCGGCACATGAGACAGTCCATTTGGTTTGACTCATCAGGCCTGGATCCCAGTCAGCTGTTGGCTCACGTTACCACCTCCTGAGCTGGCCCAGGAGTAATTCTAGGCACTTCACTACCATCCTTGCCCACCTTCAGTTTTCATCTATCGCCCTTGTTTCTAGCTAAAGAAAAGGTAAAGCTGGGTGATGCTTTAGGACTGGCCAAAGGTCCACCTTTCCAATAAGCTATTCTCTTCCTTTTGCCTCTGTGTCTAGATGATGTTCATGCCTTGTTAATTATAGCCAGCCTAGCTTAAATTCAGAAATAATGATATCTTTTCTTACATTGAAAGCAGTATTATCTTACACTGTCATGATTATGATCCACATTCTAAGAAAGGATATAGATATAACAATATTAGAATCTCCAACTTACTAAAAAGACCTTGGTACGCTCCCAAACACTGAAAAAACTACAGATAGTTGCATATGCAATGACTATTTATTAACTGCCTGTTATGTCCAGGCTCTGTGTTAAGTGTTGGGAATATAACATTAAATGAGATACAGTGTGGGTCTTCTAGAAGCCTATATACTAAGATATGTACTATAAAGAAAGATACAAAGAATGTACCTCAGGCTAGATTCTTCTTTTCTCTGTCTGGATTTCCCCATCTGTAAACCAAGGATTAAAATCAGAACAGTGTATTTCAAACTTTTAAAGAATAGATCTATCTTTTCAATCATACACCCAATAAAGTCATATTTGAAGCCCCAATAGATGAAACATGTAAAGTGATTGACCTATAAACTTGTAACATAAAAATATCTTAATATGTGAAAGCTACTGTCTTAAAGAACAAAGAATGCATTCATTTCCCTAAACATAAGAAAGTTTTTAACTGGAATCTCTCGGTAATATTTATTTTAAATTAACTTATGTAGAAAGATTTCAAAAAATATTTGCTAAATGAATGAATGAAAAACAAATGAGTACCTCGTACCGCAGATAACCTTAATGTCTTCTGAACGTGTGTTTGGGTTCTTTAATACCCTATTTCATAAACATCTTCTAAGACGAATTGACCCTTACAAATGAAAATAGATATTTCATGACTTATACATTTTAACTTTTTCTCTTTAAAAAAATAGATTAGATGATAAAGGTCAAGTGGTTCGCATCAACTTCAATAATGCAACTAGAGACACGCTATTCGACGTACCTGTTGAAAGAGTTCAGCCTTTCTATGCTGCTCTGAAGGAGTTTGTTGACCTCATGAACTGTAAGGAATTCAAGTTTACTTTCAAGATGAATCCAGGTCAGTGAACACATTTTCTCAAACAACTGAAAAGGTGGATTTTCTTCAACCTTAACCATTTAGAGCAATGCCTAGAGCAGTTTTTTTTCAAGTGTGGCATGTGGAACACTTACAGCAGGATCGTGGTGAGCAGCCAGTTTGCTTAAATAGCAGACTCCTGACCTCCACCTCTCTTGACTCTCCAGAGTTAAAATATTCATATTTATAAAGCTCCTAGGTAAACCCTAAGCACCCCAAAATTTGATAACTTCCAACCAAAAGAATAAATACACGAAAGACAAGCTATAGGCCAAACGAAATCTCACGTCTGATATCAAGACCGATGACTTATATTTTCTATCCTGATAGCCAATCAATGCAAACTGAAGCTTGTACTTAATTCTTCTCTCCTGGTACACAAATAAGATCATCCTCATGACTCTCACTCTAAAATGCGTGAGTAATGTTTACTCATTTAGCTTATCTGATCTGGCAGAGGCAGCACTACCTGAAAAAAAGGAGCGAAGGGTTCCAGCTACTTGAAATGAAGGAGCAGAAAGCATTGTGTTTTTCTGGACTATCTCTACTTGGTAAAATGACATCACACTCAAGGTTTTTGATGGATATAGTAAAAAGCAGAATTTCTTTCTGCCATTAATTTGGCCAAGTGGGAGATTCTTTTCACTGGTGAATAATCTTTTAATTGATCTTTGGCATAAGAGAGTAATACTAGAAATCAGATAAACCCACTGCTATGCAGTCACAGAAGGTTGGTTGTAAGAGCAGCAACATGGAAAATGGAAATACCATGAGAAAAAAATACCGAACGAATCTGAGCTGGAATCCAAGAGCCGCCAGTTAAAGGCCGTGTGGCTCGGGGCAAATCCCTTAACTTCTCAGAGACTCACTTTTCTCCTGTATGAAAAGATGAGCTAATACTCTCTTTTCAGGATCTTTTTGAGGCTTAGAAATAATGTACCTAAAATACTAGGCACATAGAAGACAAACCAAGAATGTCACTATCCTTACAATTATTTGAAGCTGCTTAACTTGAAAGAGATAATCCTAATTAAGCGATAAATAACACCACAAAGAAAAATTCAAAAGTTTTACACAGATATAGTTTTTTAAGTAAGAATTATAAAAGTGTCTACAGGAGCCTGCCAGGCCGTGTAGTTTGAACGCCAAAAGGTCCAAAGCCATTTGCATCGGGCGTCTATTTGTGTGAAAGAGTACAGGCGCAGCTGTGTGTCAAGAAGTAGCCGTACTATTTCTTGATGTGAACCAAGTGACAGTGATATTTTGCATTTTGCATTTTCTAGCTCTGTTCGTCTAAACACATGGTTATTCACATTGCAATAACCTTTTGTCTAGGTGATGTTATTACTTTTGATAACTGGCGCTTACTTCACGGCCGAAGGAGCTACGAAGCTGGAACTGAGATATCCCGCCACCTAGAAGGAGCTTATGCCGACTGGGATGTGGTAATGTCAAGGCTTCGCATCTTAAGGCAGAGCGTCCAGAACAGAAACTGAATCCCCGTCTGTAATTTCAGTAAGACTCCAGCAGGTGTATTCCATAAGATATGGCAATGTTATTTGTCTTCACAGACCATGATCTGTTCATTCACATATTAATTTCTTTACCATTGAACATGTCACCTTTCTCACGAGAGTTTTCTTTTCTTCATAATCATATGCAATGCCAACTGGTCAGATGCTGTAGCGTGCTCTCTCCTTTCTCGATGAAACATCCCTTCTGTTCTGTTGCACGTCTGGTCTGATTTTTTTTTTGCCCGTTTAAGAGTCTTCAGAATGCCTGAGAATAGTTGTGTATCAATAAAATCATTCTTCAAATACAGCCTTTTTTAAAATAAAGCTTTTGTTTCAAATAAAGCTTGTATTTCAAATGAAACTTGTCTCAAAGAAAACACGTTTCTGCTCTGTTGCCTATATGGTCCCATTTGTCATGACTATATGTGACTGTCTAACATGCTTGAGAAAAGCCTTCATATTTTCAAAGTTCCGTTTAGTCACTTTTATTGTAGAATTCTATTACCCCAATTTCCGGACGTCAACAACCTGGTGACCTCAACATTCCCTTTAATACATAAATTATGACACCAAACTCACGTGTGCCAAATTAGGAGAAACATCTAGTCTCCCTAAGTTTCTCCTGCCCCAGTTAAGGACTCCTCAGGGCTGCAGCGGACCTTATGCCTGTGCGTGAATCACTTTTCTTTATTCCTTGCCTTCAGCTAACAACTGGGAAAGGCAGGGCCAAGATGCATGCAACATTCATAGACAGACACGATGTCTGCTGACCTCTGGACAGCTTCCCCTTCTGGTCTTGGCTTCCTCTATGGCTAACATACTGTCCCCAGTGGTGGAACACCGGTGTCACTGCTAATCATGGAAGTCCCGCTCTTGTTGAGCTCAGACCCTTCCCTAGCCCTGGCAGAAAGGGGAGTCTCAGCATTATCATTTGCTGAAATCCTGGTAGGACCTAGATTTTCAGTCCCGTTTTGAGACCTAACCATGCCTCCTATTTTAAAGTTCTTCCTCATGCCCCCACCGCAGAGCTCTACCTGTTGCCTTCAGACCAAGAGAAACGTTACCTCCATCCACGTTTAACTTTTGCTTCAGGCTTGCAGTGTACCCGTGTGCGCACACTAGGAATCTGGATCAAGAGTGCCTTAAGCCCATGTCAGCACACCCCCTGATTCTCTGAAGTCTGGGATTGAGTCTACACCGGCAGACCAGACTCCACTGTCCCTTACAACACTGCCACATTCTGGGCCTTCACTGTGGTTTCCTATCACCTGGTCTTGAGCGGGGTGACTGCAGTCTGTCACATGTTCGATTCCTTTGAACTTCAGAAGGAGTGGGTTGAGTTCTCAACTCCATCTCTCCTAAGACAGTCCTCAAATGAAATCGGGTGAGTTCAATAGCATCATGGCCTGATCCTAAGAGGCAGCATTCAATACCTATAAACAAATAAATTGGTGGAGTGACCCTAGCTCCACCCATTCATGGCATCTAAACCCCAGGCACTTGCCAAGCTACAGTGACTTACTATGCCTTCATTCATTCGGCAGATATTTATCACGTGCCTGGTGTATGTCGGGCACTCTGCTAGACTAAGGACACAGAGGACTTGAGATGTGCCTGCTTATGGTCTTGTAGGGGAGCAGATGAGGATAGAGATGGTGATGTGTTATGTTAACAGAATGGTTCAAAGGATGGCAGCCAAGCCAGACTGGGGACGCTTCAGTCTGAGTTGAATGAGCAGTAATCATAGTTTTTCAGGCAAAGATGGGAAAATGAGTTTCCAAGTCAAAGGGCAGAAGAAGAGACTTGAGAGTAAACCCAGCGCATGTGTTGACTTACCAGTGAGAGAGAGTAGAACATCGCAGTGGTGTAAGTTCTGGGATTGCATGCCTAGGTTCAAATCACAATAATGACAGTTAGTTAACTATGTGTCTTTGGAAAATTAACTTCTTCCCTTAAGCCTCAGTTTTTCAACCTATAAATGGGACTAGTAACACTTCTTATCTCACTAAGTTTTTATGAGGATTAAATGCAGCTTCATGCAAAGCAGTGTTTTCCCAAACTTCTCAGATGACAAGAATCACTATGGTGTTTCTGTGGGTTTCTTCTTCTTCTCTCTTTTTTTTTTTTTTTTTTTGGTGAGGAAGATGGGCCCTGAGCTAACATCTGTGCCCATCTTCCTCTATTTTGTATGTGGGACACCTGCCACAGCATGTCTTGATGAGTGTTGTGGGTCCATGCCCAGGATTCAAACCGTGGACTCCTGGCTGCCAAGGCGGAGCACACTGACCTTAACCACTACACCATTGAGCTGGCCCCTGTGGGTTTTTCTTTTTTTTAAGTACAATTTCCCAGACTCATTCCCTGAAGATTATGATTCAATGGATCTGGGATAAGGACCAGGAATCGCATTTTTAGCAAGGATCCCAGGTGATATGCATCATCAGAGAAGTCTAGAAAACATTGATGTATAGCATTTAGCATAGTTCCTAGCTGAGGGCAAGCACTCAATAGACGTTAACGCTTATGAGTTATAATAGCAGAAGGTGTAGAGGGAGAGGACGGATTAGGGTGAGAAGAGCCATGTGAAGCTGGAGGCAGAGAAGGGGGCCAAGTCGTGAAACGTTGAAATGTATGTTGCACTAAAGAGTCAATATGTTATCCTGAGAGCAATGAGGAGCCATTTAAAGGTTTTTAAGCAATAAAGTGCCTTGATCAGATATTCATTTTTTAAAGATCCATCTGGCTACGTCGTGGAGGGAATTGTAAATGAGCAAGACTAGAGGCCATAAATCCACTTACGAGGTTGTAAATGTATTTACTGCAGGAAGCCAGATGGGAAATTAAGAAGGATTGAATTAGAAAGCTGGGAGAGGGAGCGGAAATGGAGAGATACTCAGAGGCTAAATCTAGAGGACTTGACGCGTGTAGAGAATGAGGGAGACGTTTAGGATGTCTCCTGGGTTTCTAGTTAGGAGAAAGGATTGATGGTGATTCCATGTACAAGGAGAGAAGCCACAATAGAGGAAGCAAGCTGGTCTGCAAGAAAATGAATTCATTTCTGAACAGACTGAACTTGAATTGCCCGAGAGTTCGTCCATTTGGCAGTTGGATATATGAACACATGCAGCTCAGGAAAGAGATCTGGATCAGAGGAATCCATGTGGGAAGTATATAGCTGGAGGATGAAGTCATCACGTGTTGTTCTGGAGACGTTCAGTGATTGTGACCAAGGTCACAAGCCTCATGGCATACTGATAAGCTAAAACATTGGCCTAGTTTGTGGAATCAGTTACACTTTGAACATAAAGAATCAGCAGTGGCTTAGATTCAAAGTCAGCTAGACCCCTTAAATATGCATTTTGTCCCTAGAGGACAGCATTGCAAGCCAGCGCCCTGTGGCCTGGCTGTTTCCTTCTCAGTTAAAAAATTATGTCTGTCCTGGAGGGGAGGGACAGCAGGCTTGGACGCAGTTGCAACAATTTCTGAGGTGTTATATTGGACATGACATATTATGGGCCACGGCAGCCGGTGCCGACTGAAGATGATTAGGTTTCCTGGATATAAGAGTCTAAAGATTTGACTTTCCCCCAAACTCATAACAGATCTGATGTAACTTGGATTAGAATTTACCCCTATTTGGCAGTGTGGACTCTCACTGTCCCTTCCATTTCTCTGATTTGACTTGGAGAATATGAGCTGCTTGGCTGTTTAAGCGGAATAACTCCACAGGTCACCAGAACGACATGTCACAAGGTGTCTTCGTTGGTCTCTATTTCTCCCCCTCGGCAACTACTAAAGGTGAGCGAATATCGGTAGAGAGAATTTATGCAAAAGAAGGAATTCCATGGAGAAACCGAGTGACACTGAGGGTAATTTCTCTGTTCATGAATTTAAACAAAGAAACAGGAGACATTTTACAAACAAAAATACCTCTTTATGTTCAATATCATTTTGAGAATAGATTTGAACCGAAAGTTCTCGTAATGAGAACGTGATCTGGTTGGACTCCACGGTCCGGAGCACCCCTGGGTCTCTGCACCCGTCCTTCTGGCTGTCTTGAATACTCTTCCCTACCACCTTTTATGCCTAGAAAACTCCTCCTCTTCCTCTTGCACAATTTCTGCTTAAGTTTCCCCTCAACGTGAAACCGCCCCTGATTCTCCCAGTCAGGCTGGAGCAGCCTCTCCTCTCTCTCCCATGGAGCCGTCCATACAGGTTTATGTGTTAATCTACCCATTCTAGCAATATTCATGAGCACCCACGGTGTGCCAGACACAGTCAGTGCTCTAGGAATACAGCGGAGCAAGACAGACAAGGGCCCTCACAGAGCTGGTGGGAATATCAGGCATTGATCAGATAATCACAGAAATAAATTATTATGAATTGTGGTAAGGGCCATAGAGGGAAAGTCCAGGAGGCTGCAAGAGCATCGAAGAAGAGGACGGGTCTAATCTGTGGGCAATGGGGCTCAAGGAAGGCTCCCCTGAGGAAGTGACTTTTGAACTGTTTGATGAAGAATGATATACAGTGACGATACTTTTGGCCTCAATTAACAGAAACTCTGAATCTAACAATAAGAAAATTTTTTATCTAACAAAACATGAGGTCCAGGAATAAGGCAGGATCCTCATATCATATATCCCCAGTCCTGCCTCTCCATAGCTCTCTTGTTCTGTCTTCCTTCATGTATGTGCTTCATCCTCAAGCTGGTAAAATGGCTGCAGAAGTTCCAGGCATCACATCCAGACATGGCTATCTGGGGAGGAATAAAGAGATTGTCTTTTCCTATGTCTCTTTCTTAGAAGTAGAGAAACTTGTCCTAGAATTTCTTCTTTAGGCTTCCTCTCATGCCTCTTTAACCAAAATCGTGTCCAATATACTCTCCTAAACTAATTACTGGCAAAAGGAAATGAGATTTCTGTGGTTAACTTAAATGAGTTAGGATCTGTCCTCAGGCTGGGGAGGTGGTCTCTATCGCTGGTGCTCATGGCTGTGTAAAGAAGTGAATAACTAAAACATTAGGATGAAGATGAAGATTAGATGATGTAGGCAACCACCAGTGTCTGCTCTAAATAGGAGAGATGCTTCTAGGTGAGGAGGTGTGCAAGCAGGGAGAGTGTGCCAGGCAGAGCAAACAGAAAGGGCTCCGATGTGGTAGGCAATATGGTGCCCTTGAACAACTAAATGAAGGCCATGAGTCTAGAAGCAGAGTGGTCAACCAACAATGTCAGATAGACTGTGAACTCTGTAGGCAGAGATGTCTTCATTTGTGTCTCCTCAGTGTCTAAATGTTTGTGGAATAAATGAGTAGAGCTGGTGGTTGTTTCTCTGAGTACTCTCCA